AAATTCAGTTGCACTCAGCTCTTGGTTTACTCTGTATCTTTACTCAGTATTTGGTAGTAAAATCTAGCATCCTCGTCGCCAAAATATGCTGTGTATTTAAAAGAATTGATCAGCAGACTACATAATCAATCCAAAAATGGCAGCCATGTACAGAACAGCTTTATTAGCATAATCTAAAAATAGCACAGTTACTATGTAACGTAGAGGGCGCTGTTGTCAAATTAACTTGCATAGTAAAGTACATTACAAATTACATGTTGTTATCGTCGCTCAGAACTCAATTCCCCCACGTGTGCAGGTGACAACCCTCACGCTTTAAATAATGTAATGCAACTAGCTAGTAAAAGACATTATTGATACATGATTTGATACAATGCATTCAACGAGGCTACTTTCACATGTTGGGAACTAGGCCGTTTATCATACTCGCCACCAGTATCTGGCGAGACTTACCTTTAACCCTCTAGTTCGATGCTTTAACCTAACCATTGAACTCAAATTCTCTTTCCGTTTTAAACGTTTTATGCAGTACTGAGATTTGGATGGAACATCAACTCTACAAGTTCATATTAAACTTCAAGGCATACTCTGTGAAATTGGCTCTATAACTTTCTCACAAATGTCATTTCACCTTCAAACAGTGAGGATGTAGTCTGTACGCGACAAGTCTATACAAGACAAATCTGATTTGTCAGTGACTGTAAACTTAGCAAATTGTGCTCATACACATCATCCGAATCAGGAATCGCAGTTTCGCTAACGCCGGCCATTCATAACCAGCCCACAAACCAAAGGAGTTTTCATGTTCAGGCTTCGGCCGAATAAATGGTCCTTGACTGGCGAAGATGGCTCATACAGTGCATCAGCATAAAGGTGTCATAGCCACACAAAACAACATCAGAAGTTGATCTAAATCAAACAAGGTTACCCAACAAGCAGCGGACAGCTTAACGAGATGTCGCAATGTCAGAAGATGTCAGCAACATGACTTGATCCCCACAAAAAAACAATTCTTAGAAAGGAAGACATGAATGTCACAGTTGCCGTCATTTAATTATAAAATACTGGTGTTAAAATAATGCATGGAACTTCTGCACACAGTTGAATTAATATGTACTCTATGTGGGTACAACTCATCATAAAAGTGATTTCCCTTAATCTAGTATTGTACTGATAACTGAAAACTTCCATTGACCCGGGTCCAAAATCTCAGAGTACACAAGTGCAACCAAACTATGTCTCTTACAAGTATACATGCTCAAGAAACTGCATTCATAAATCTGAGTAAACCTTGATGTACCTTGACTTCTTTGTTAGTCCCCGGTCGGACGAAGTCCGAACACTGGGACTATTAATTTGGGTTTGTTCCGTCCGTACGCCCGGACACCCATTGACGGATTTCATTCAAACTTTACATGAAGACAATACATAATGTCTTACATATGTGCGTCAAGTTACCTTATGATCGGCAGCCATTTTGGATGTAAAATTTGCTATATACTTAAACGTGTCCGCAGCAGTTTCTCAGAGATGACCGGGCCGATTTGGATCAAACTTGGTATGATGATCATACATGTTTGGTTATAGGTGCACGTCATACTTTTTCTGCGATTCAAACAAATCTGGCTGACTGGCGGCCATTTTGTTTTTCATGGTATCCATGCCTACTTTCTCTTGTATGCCATGAACGTCTGTGTAAATTTTGTATACCAATAGATACATCAACATTATTTTTGTAATTTGATTCAATATGACTGCCCAATGTCCAGTTCTCCTGTAACAGCACTAAATCATAATTTTTTTATTTAATATAATTTTTTTATTATATTTTTTTTTAACTCCTCTACAGTTCTCACCGAGTCGGAATTGTACAACCCATCTGTCAAAGCATGTAATTGTGATGACGCTAGCTTTGTTTTTTAATAAAGCATGCAATGTGTCTAGCCGTCAAATAAGATGACATCTCGGGGGACTTCTTGAATAAATGAACATGATCAACATGATGGGAGAGATGAAAATCCTAGTCTGGAGCTCAAGAACCACCCAGAGGGAAAATAAACAAATCTGACAAAGGTCTATCCAAGAAGAAGTCAAAAATAGAATTGTTGACAGACGAATGAATGACAATTTACCAACATGGCAGTATAAGCGAAATGCTGTAAACATTCTGAACAAATAAGGATATAAAAACACTTTAATAAGAAATATATTTATTCCAAGAAAACATACTGGAAAATGTATTTTATGAAATATACATACATACATACATATTGAAAAATGGGTATTAAATATTGCTAGAAAGTGGAACATTTAAATCTAACTGACAGAATTTAATATTAAACTTTAAGCCAGAAGTACAGTAAATATCGAAAGAAAACTTTTTTTTTTGACTGTATATTGTAGAATATATGAAGGTGATCATGACAGTATGTTATGCAAGAAATCTGTGGATAATCTGTAAACTAGCAAATACAGGTACATGTCAAAACTCAGTTTCAGGCCAGATGGATGCACTTGTTAAAAATGTTTTTTTTAAGACCTGTTTTAGTGAGTAACCCACAAAATTATTAAAACATAGTTGAACTCTGGTGACCTTGCCCTTTGTTATATAATATAATTCCCTTTATCATAGTTTGTTTCAATATAAATATGCATTGTCATAATTAATTTTGAATACAAACAAGTTTTGGGGTTAAACCAACAGTGGGAAATCAGTCTACCGAACGTCCTTAAAAGATGTAAATATCTTACAAAAACATTGGTGCCTTATTTGTTTAATTATTTTAAGGGACAATAATTTCCAGCTTTATTCAAAGTAATTCAGATATTTTAGTATAAAAACAAATGCCTCATCGCAAAGAAAA